CCTAGTAGAGAGCCTAGGAATCATCAGGATAAGAGTGGGTAAACAGGTCTGAAACTCTCAGTTCTTGAACTGTCCAAGGTGACACCCGTCCCTCTTTTCACACACACCCTCCTCCCCTCTCTCCCTGCGCCGTTTTCACAAACAGGAAGTAGAAGAGGGACTCCTAGGGGTAGTCAAGGCAACCTTTTGTCCTGTGGGCATGTCCGGTGTCACAGGACAGGGGGAAGATCCCAAGACACCTTCAGTGTCTCGGAGACTCCACCTAACCACTGAGATGTGGGTTTCCTGGAGGCTGGAGAGAGATCAGCAGCCCTGGTCCACACTTTACTTCCCTGACCCTGAAAAGAAGTCACATCTGACTGACTAGGAATCACTGGGGCCGGTTTGCATGACGTCCTGAGGCCTATCCGGACCCAGGTTCAACCTACCTGGTACCTAGCTGAAACCCTATTCCTGCAGGAGGGATGGGGGCCCCCAGGGGTTCGGGTAATGGGAGGCAGCGCCACCTAGTGGTGAGGAGAGAGGTCAGGGCAGGTGGCCTGTGCCCTGGCTCCATCATCCCTATAGATTGTTCTGCTTTTCTGCCTTCTCAGGGCCCAGAATAAATGCCATGCCACCAACAACAGTGACTGCCAGACAAATGGGAAGGTCTCGGTAGAGCCAATGGTCCAGTGTGGAGGCGTGTCTGACAGATGACAATCATGCAGAGGCCAGAGGCTGACTGAAGGGGACAGTGAGTGGATTCTCTACCAGCCCTGGGGGTGGCCAGGACAGAACTTCTTCCCGCTCTGTGGGAAAGATGCAAGGTCCTGTCATTTATCACCCTGTACCCAATGATGGAGCCCGTGGAAGAATAAATTCCATTTCACAGTGCCCTCTTGAGCAAATCTCTTTCCTTCCCCGTGTTGGCCACTGTCCCCATTTTCCAGAAAAGCAGGGTGATGCTCCAATATTGGATTCATTCAGATGGTTCCAAAGTGTAGGTAAATTTATAGCCCTGTGGCATGCTTTTATGTTTGTTTGTTTTAGGTCACACCCTGCAGTGCTCTGGGTTACTCCTGACTCTGCACTCAGGAATTACTCCTGGAGGTGACTGGGGGACCATATGCGATGCACGGGATTGGATGCCAGGGATCGAATCCGGATTGGCCGCATGCAAGACAAATGCCCTCCCCATGTCCTATGGCTCTGCCCCTCCTGCTGTTATTATTTTTAACCTTGCCATTGCCCCCACATACCTTAGAGAGGTGAGGTGAGTGGTGTGTTTAACTTGTAGGCATTTAATGCCAGGAAGAGAAAAGCAAACAAGTAAACCCAAGCCTCGGTGCTGTGGACCACCACCTGCCCTTTCGCAAAGCTACGCATGTTTTGGGGCCGGAGAAATGGTACAGCAGGTAGGGTGTTTGCTTTACATGCAGCCAACCTGAGTTCAATCCCCAGTACTCCATATGGTCCCCCAAGCCACCTTGAGTAAATCCTGACCAGAGAGCCAGGTGTAATCCCTGAGCATTTCCAGGTGTGACGCCCTCCTCCCCCCAAAAAAACTAAAATCAAACAAACAAAAATCTAGGAATGGAACGTTTCCAGCAAGGAGCGTTCTCCTGGGGATTTTCTGGAAGCACCGGCGGTGGGTGTCCACACAATACAGAGATCCCCGGGTTCCTGGCAGCTTGTGGCAGTGTGGTCCTCAAAGGCCAGTCTCCAAATATGATCATAAGCACTGGCTGCCTGGACAAACAGTGCTGCAGGGGACAGAGCACGCTGCTAAGAGGGACTCAGGTAACCCCAGACTGGTCACAAACGGCCATGTTCTGGCCCTCTCCCCCAACTGCTCCAGACCCACCAGAGAGCCGGAGAGTCACAAGAACCTGCTAAACTTCTCCTGAGGCGACCGTCCTGAAGCGTGCGGCAGCAAAGCAAGCCAACATCCCAGAATCTGTGAAAGTTCAGCCCAAGAGGAGCCCAGGACCAACGGCGCTCTGGAAGAGAAGCAATCTGTAGAGGACAGACTCCCCTGACCTGTCATAGTGCATCCATGGTTTCCCGGAGGCTCTACGTTCTTGGAGGAAATTCTCCCTCTATCCCTTAAATGTGGGTAGGGCACTTGCCTGGCACTTGGCTGACTGGGTTCAATCCCCAGCACTCATTATGGTCTGCCAACTATGGTTGTCTGAGCCAACCAGGACTGATGCCTGAGCACAGAGCCAGGAGTATGCCCTTAGCACTGCCATATGAGGCTCAACACCCGATTTCCAAAAATAACCTCTTAAGTGTAAAATAGAGGTTGGTTTCCCTTGGATTTGGAAGTGATTTTTTTGTTTGTTTGTTTTGTTTTTATGTTGTTGTTGTTGTTGTTGTTTTAACAAAGACCTTTCTATTTCAGTTCTTTCCGAGTCAGATTAGGAAGCAGAGAAGTGGAGATGATGGGGAGGTCAGGCGGGAAATGTTTCTCTCTGGGTGTGTGCTCACTGGTGGGGGGAGGAACACAAGCCTTAACTCCCACAGCATGTGTGTGTGTGCACGCGCATGTGTGTGTGTGCGTGTGTGTGCATGCGCACATCACAAGTGAGGTGAATGTATTTGTGAGTAAACATCCATAGACATGTGAGCATGTGGTATTGATCATGTGATATTCATTTGTTTTCATGTATGTTAGTGAACAGTTGTATGCATGTGTTTGTGTGTTGTGTGTAACCGTGCTGTAAGGGTGAATGCATGCAGATGGATTCCGTGTGTATGTGGACGGGAGTGCCTTGCCTCCCATTCCCAAGGACGGAGCTACAGAGCAAACATTTTCCACAAGCCCTCTGATCTCTAAAGTGCCTGACCGGGGCTCAGTTCCCTCATCCCGTCATCCCAGGCCCTACATCTCCATGGGTCCAGGAAGCAGAGCTTTGTGGCCTTTTGTGTTCCTCGCCAGTCTCCAGATGAGGATGCAGAGGTCAAGTTCTTTCTCTTTCCTTTCCTAGATGTCAGGCCTCTCAGAGGAGGAGTTGCCCTTTTAAAAGTACTCAATGGGGGGGCTGGAGCGATAGTACAGCGGGTAAGGCATTTGCCTTGTATGTGGTTGACCCGGTTTCGATCCCCGGCATCCCATATGGCCCCCCAAGCACTGCCAGGAGTGATTCCTGAGCGCAGAGCCAGGAGTAACCCCTGAGTATCACTGGGTGTGACCCAAAAAGCAAAAAAAAAAAAAAAAAAAAAAGCAAAAGTACTCAATGGACCTTTCGTTAATGACCCACTGAGCCAGCAAGAAGGACTGGACAGTACAGCAGGTCAGGCATTTGCCTCACATTTTTCCAACTCAGGTTTGATCTCCAGCATCCCATTGGTCTCCCATTCTCACCATAAGTGATCCCTGAACACAGAGCCTGGAGTCATCCCTGAGCACCACTGGGTGTGGCCCCCCATTTTTTTTTTAAAGGGGAAGAGCAAGAAGACATTCATTTTGGGTGATGGTTGTGCTGTTCTACTTCATTCAAAGGTGTAACAGGGTTTGGGGGAGGAGCAACACACAGAGGAGGGAATTCCTTCTCTGTGGAACGTTCCACAGTATCCCAGGAAGGCCTCCCTGCATCAGTCCATATTTTTCTTCTCCAGGTTCTGCTAGAACAGAAGTTGTTTAATTCAAAACCCAACACCATAATGAAGCCCTTAAGCCACTCAAACAGCCCTGGACCGTTCCTCCCTTCCCACATAGGAGAACTTGGGGTCTATAAAAGAGTGAGGTGGGGAGAGTTCCTACAGAAGACCATGAGGAATTGCTCCTGTAACTGTGTTTTGCCATTAGGTCACGACTCTCTGGAGCTATCTAGATGAAGTCAATGCTCTCCTATCCTTAAGGCTCCTAACAATACAGTAGTCCCCAAATCCAAACACCAGTGATCCCGAATTCAAATACAGATTCTCTCTCGTTGAAATTTGCTCCCACACTTTTAAAGGGAACCCATCTCTGCTCATTTTCTCTCAATCTAAGGGGCAAATGCAGCATTAAAAATAAAGATAGTGGCTCCATTTAAAACATGTTTATGATTTGTTTAATTTTGAAGGCATACAGAGTTTGTGTAGGTCATTTTAACATCTAGAAACACAAAGATAGCATTTGTAACATCTGGTAAATGATTTATTTTCTGAGCCTAGAGATAACATTAATAAAACTAGACTTAAACATCAGACCCCTAAATAGCCATGAAATGTAAGCAAGGGCACACACACCAGACACAACCGCCCACATGCTGTGGCAAACAGAGAACCAGTCACCAGATTCACCCTGCTCGGGGGAAAACCTAATGTACCAGGAGCCAGAAATAAAACTGGGAATAGTACTAGGGACTCTGTGTCTCTCGCTAGATGTTTTGCAAGAAATTCCAGAACCGTTTCTATTGCTACATTTTCCTCTCTTTCAAATGAATCATCCTTGAACACAAGGGCAGATTAAAAAATGAGCATTTTAGCCTTCACCACATATAACAACCAACTCAACGAGGGAGTTTCCATTAGTGTGTGTGGACGTCCTTGTGGGCGAAGTTCAGATCCTGTGAGGTCTTGAGAAGCATCAAATTAGTCCTGTTTTGTAACCTATGCCTTGAGTAAGAGATTCTCTCTCTCTCCTTCTCTCTTTCTCTCTCTCTCTCTTTCACTCTCTCTCTCACACACACACAAACACAAAGACACACATTAATGAGAGAGGCAAGCCATAGCCATGGTGAAGGGGAAGTCACATATAAACCAGAAAACAGAGTTTGTTGATGGTTTTCCACTTCCTCCCCAACTTGGCCATTTACCAGAACTGTCCACAAGCCATCACCTTGAGTGTTGCCTCTCTGGATCACTTCCTGTCTGTCCTTGAGATAAGTGGAGAGAGGGCACAGGGGCTCCCCACAATAGGGATAGCTCCACACTGCACCACCACAATGGAATCACCCTCCTGGATCACATCCTCTCAAGTGAGGCTGCTCAATTCCTACTCCGACACAAGCTTCTCTGACCTGCAACTGGGAGTAAGTGTCCTCTTGAAGGCAAGCATGATGTCCAAGAGAGGAGAGGAAGCAAGAGGGGACGCTGGAAAAGGAGTCAGTGTAAGGGACACAGGAAGACACTCTCCTCCGTTACCGCCCCTGTGGCACGGTGGAGGTAGAGAGAACAAGGCAGAGAGTGGGCTGTCTGCCTCCAGCTTCCAGTTCCTGTCAGTTCCTAGGGTCTCGAACATCTGTGGACCCTACAAATCTGTTCCCTGTGAATCCAACTCACAAGTTTCGCCTTAAGTCCGGCTGAATGGGAGCGCTCTAAGTCCTCTACAGATGATTATGAAGGCACAGTAAGCTGGTTCCCTCACCAGCCTTTCCAAAGTGATACAATATCACAACAAAATTGGTGTGAGAGACAGATTTAAAAGACATTTACCAATGAGTTTCTAGGAGTTATCTAATTAGCGAATCTGTGGGTGATGGTTTTTTCTTCCCTCCTTTTAGTTACACTCTGACACTGGTTTTAAAATATTTAAAATATCAAAATGCATCATTTTATCATTAAGTAGTTTTTCATTCTCAAAATAACTAAACTACCTTTTTAGAGGAGACAAACAGACTAGGCATGATTATGAAAACTATCAGAGATAGTTGCTTTTTTTTTAATTAAAGGAGAAATTTGAACCCAAACCTAATTAGCTCTGAAACTTAAATGACCACGCTCATGTCCTAAATAGTGTGGATCTCCACCCATGATTGCCAAAGGCATACATTACCATCAGCCTATTGGTGCATATAACAATAGCTATTGGAATTATTCCAACACACACATGAGTTAACAAATTATAAGGCCTGTATCATTGTTTCTTTAGTGTAGCCCACTAAGAATGACTAATTGTTAAAATATGGGCATTCTTTTGCAATGGATATTTTGGGGGGGAAACAGCATAAAGAAAATACTTCTTTTAGAGCCTAGCTCATACAACTGAGAAAAAGGACAGAAAACATCCCCTGGCTTTACTTCATTCTTTTTGCAACATCTGAATAGGCATGTTCGATCTCCTGGTCGGCTGGACACGTGTTTGTGAACTCATCCCTAGCATACGCATTGTTCAAGTATCTCCAGATGCCCGTCATTTCCGTGGGAAATTCAAAATCTCGGTATCGCTTTGCCACGATCTGGAAATGAAGAGGAAAACATCAGCAAAGGAAAACCCACAAATATGGGGGCGGGGGATTTGGGGAGGAGGGCATGGAATCTTGCAGTTTACTCTCTGGAGTTGTGTACTACGTTGTTATCAAATTGTGAAACACTTCTCCCTTTCATCTACCCCACAACTTGCTCTTGACTTTACACAGGATATATTGAATAGAAGAGAGGTCATAAAGATACTGTACTTAAAACAGTGGACCACACACACACACACACACACACACACACATACACACACACACACATACATCCCTGACAGTCCCTGGGACCCACTGGCACGCATTTGCTCTAAACTCTGGCAGATTTGTGCTCGTGGTTCTGACCAACCACAGCTCCCCGTGCATTTCACTGCTGTGTGATTTGGTACCTACAGACTCAAGGTGGGTCTTGCATTTAGACCAGGCTAGGATCCCTGTGAAGGGCGCTCACTTTTGCAATTTTCTGAAATACCCAGTGTCAGAGTAAGTCACAATTACTGCAGATTTCCAAGGTTCTTCCAGCAAACATCATCATACTAGGGTCAGTCCTAGGCAGAGGGCCCATCCATGGACAGAGAAACACAAAGCTCCATCCTTGGGAAAACAGTGGATGAGCCCACCACCAAGAGCGCAGGTCCCAGAAACCCCCAAGTGGGAGCCACTTCCTTCGGATGGAGACGCACTGGTAGGGATTTGGCCACAAGGAGGGAGATTTTTTTGTGGGGATTATGTCCATTCCTGTGGCTTCCTTGTTCAAATACCACAAACCAGGTGCTTCAGAACAGAAACAAATCCTTCTCTCCCAGCCCTGAAGGCCAGAAGCCAGAAAAATCAGTGTAAGCTTCCTCTGAGGGTCTATTGATAGCTCTGCTCTAGATCTTTCTCTTCATTCCTATTCATTCCTTGTCCTGCGGGAACCCAACGCCAACCTTCACAGGGTCTAGCCCCTCAGTTTGTGTTTCTACATCCACAGTTCCCCTGTTATAAGGACTCCAGTCACAATGGATTTGGGGGTCTCCTGCTCTCCCAGTGACCTCCTCATAACCAGTTGTAGGATAACATTGGTTTGTCCTCTCTGCCTTGCCACAGGGATCTTGGGTTTATTGGGTTACTCCTGTCACAGTGCTCCCATTCCTCTGTGTTTATCTGTAAACTCTTTCTTTGTGCTCTGCTTCCCCAACCAATTGCCTTTATCTCCTAAGCAGACTCTGTTAACTTGTACATATTGTTTTTCTCCTCTCCTTAGTCCAATAACTTAATTAATATCTAATTAATTCTACTTCTTAATATTAGTTATTTTGTATGGACACAGTAAGAGATACATTAAGCTTGTAGGGTGGCTCTCTGGGGACATCTTGCTATAGATCTCGGACTACAGTGCTCAGGACAGGTTCATCTTTCCTAATCCTAGCAGGGTCCTAATATAGATTGTTACTTTTTGGATCATGACAGAGTTTGTCCATGACCATGCTCTTAACTTATAGTTAAGTATTATGGTGCTTTGGCCTGGCCCATTTCAATGCTAGGGTAGTTCACAGCTTGCCCTGTGTCCATCCAGTTCCTCGTCTGGACCCTGCTTTTGGGGTGCTAGGAAGGGCAACTGAGGCTTAAGTTGAGAAAACAGAAGCCCAGGAGTGAATATCATTCAGAGTCAATTAACTCCCAAGTTACAAAAACATAGCACTAACTGTCTTCCTGTGTCTATACAGAAAGGACATTGCTCTGAATTAACTATGCAAAGAACTTAAGGAGAAGAGAAAAGCAATATTTACAAGTTAATAGAGTTTGATTAGGAGATAAAGGTTGGGAAGCAGAGCACAAAGAAAGAGCTTACAAATAAACACAGAGGAATGGGAGCACTGTGATGGGAGTAACCCAATGAACCTAAGTTCCTTGTGGCAAGGCAGAAAGGATAAACCAATGTTACCCTACAACCAGTCCCATCTGTGAAGTCCTGATTTTAAATAAGGGTGTGCTCCAAGGAACTGGGCTTCAACAGGTGAATTCAGAGATAAAAAGAACACAATTGATCCCGACTCAGAGACACTGGGCTACTCTGGTATCTGCCATCCGATATGCTTTGGAGGTGTCTGTATCACCTAAGCGTGAGCTTGATTACAAGAGAGAAATATTTTAGCCGGCTATTTCTCAGATGTCCACATGCAGTGTGTGAACATAATGGGACCAGACGCCTTTGGGAAGCCTCCAGAATTACTAAATGTCTCTTCCTTCCCTCAACCTTTAGGACATCAACATTCCAAGTTCTACTTTCCTTCTGGGTTTCACTCACATTTGCTGGTTAACCTTACTCGTTCTGTGCTTGGGGCATTTCAGAGTAAACCTGTTCAACTCTGTCTCCGTTCATCCCCACAGAGGGATGGACACTGGGTCTGAGGCATTTTCTGAATACGAACTTGGTTTCCCTTCCTTCCGTACAAATTCATGTTTGGGTTCCCTTCACCGGTAACTTAGGAGGTTTAATGTCTGTTTTCATGCTTCAGGCAGATTTTCATATAATGGTAGCACTGCACTGTAGCACTGTCCTCCCGTTGTTCATCTATCTGCTTGAGCGGGCACCAGTAACATCTCCATTGTGAGACTTGTTGTTATTGTGTTTGGCATATCAAATACATCATTGGTAGCTTTCCAGGCTCTGCCATGCAGGCAAGATACTCTTGATAGCTTGCCAGGCTTTCCAAGAGGGGCAGACGAATCGAACCCAGGTCAGCTGAGTCAGCTGCGTGCAAGGCAAACACCTACTCACTGTGCTATAGCTCCAGGTCCCATAATGATAGAAATTCAACTTAGCTATCAAACCATGCATTGCATAATAATGGAAAATATATGATTATTCACATAGGGATGAATATAATACATGATATAAACCCCCTACTTTCTGATTTTCCTATTAGGATAATGTCTACTTCCTCCTGATTATGAAAAATGAGGAAATTTTATTCCCTTCCTCAACTTCCAAGGCATTTCTTCTCCCTAATCCTACTTCCAGTGGTTAAAAGCATCCCAAGTTGTGCTTCTCATTCCATTCTGTCCCTTGCCTATTCCCATGGTTTCGATTGGGTCTCTTATGACCTTTATGTCAAGGTCATAAGATTTGATTTTGTATAATTTTATCAGCCCCATTCTCCAAACTTCCAGCTAATTCCTGCAATGTCTTTTTCTACTTACAACTGATTCTTAGCATTTCTGAACTCTTTTCTTTGACTCTACTTTTGTTCTTAGCCCTTCCTAGCTGACTGTTATCCTCATTGTGATGGTCATTCATTCTTGATAGCTTCAGTTTTGTCATTGAGCTTTATTTCATTGTGCAGTCATGACTGCCATTTATAGCACAGCTGTAAGACATTTGCCTTGTGTGCAGCCAGCCCGGCTGAGCCAGGTTTGATTCCTCTGCCCCTCTCGGAGATCCCAGCAAGCTACTGAGAGTATCTCGCCCACATGGCAAAGCCTGGCAAGCTACCCATGACATATTCGATATGCCAAACACAGTAACAAGTCTCAAAATGGACACTTTACTGGGTCTGCTCGAGCAAATCGATGAACAATGGGAGGACAGTGGACAGAGTTTACTCCTGACTGTGTTTGGGGGTCACTCCTGGTGGTGTTCAGAGAACTACATGTTGTGCTGAGGATTAAACTAGGGTCAGCACATGCAAAGCAAGTTCCTTAATCCTTTCACCCTCTCTCTAGTCCTCACTGAGCGCTTTTTGTCCTCTTCAAATCATGGGTCACTTTTATGAAAAGCATCGTTACTATAGCCAGTAGTAATTCACATTTTACCTTACGTGATAGCAGTTTTCAAGGAAAAAAATAAAAGAACATCAAAATAAAGAAAAACAAATACATTCACCAAGGCATATCTGTAAAATAATTGAGGGTTCTTTCTTCTTACGCATCATTTTGAGCCCATTCAGAAGTCTCTGCTCAGCTCTGTAAAGGGGTAGCACCATCAAGCACTGTTTCTCAGCTTCCTTTTCTCTTCTCTTCCTCTGCCTAGCCTTTGCCCCACTCCTTCTGGATTATATCTACCACTTGAAGGTCCTATCGGATTCCTTCTGATTACTAATAACTTCAACATTTGAGATTTATTAGACCAACCATTTGCTTAAAAATAGTATGTAGATGGGGCTGGAGCAATAGCACAACGGGTAGGGTGTTTGCCTTGCACATGGCCGACCTGAGTTCAATTCCTCCATCCCTTCAGGAGAGCCCGGCAAGCTACCGAGAGTATCCCGCCCACATGGCAGAACCTGGCAAGCTCCCTGTGGCATATTCAATATGCCAAAAACAGTAACAACAAGTCTCACAAAAGAGACGTTACTGGTGCCCGCTCAAGCAAATTGATGAACAATGGGAGTACAGTGCTACAGTGCAGAGCCAGGACTAACCCTTGTGCATCATCAGGTGTGACCCAAAATGCAAAATAAATAAATAAATAAATAATAAAAACAGTATGTAGGGCAAATGGGATAAGAATGGGGCAGCTGTTGGGGGCAGAGTGATAGTACAGCAGGGAGGGCGTTTGCCTTGCACGCGGCAGATCCAGGTTCAATCCCTGGCATCCCATATGGTTCCCCAAGCACCACCAGGAGTAATTCCTGAGTGCAGAGCCAGGAGTAACCCCTGAGCATAATTTGGTGTGACCCAAAAAGAATAAAAAAAAGAATCGGGCAGCTGTAGATCAATTAGGCTTTCCACCCCTCAACAGTCACTCACCAAACACTGATCTCAATTCTGCCCCAAGGACTTAAGAGAAGCCGAGTTAGGACTGTGACTAGGATTAAGGTGAGGGTGAAGTTTAGGTTTAGAGTTATGGCTTTCCCCTTTCTGAGACTCATAGATGAGGAAAGAGGTCACCAGAGCTGAAATGAAAGTAGGCATCTTTCGCATGTCTTCCTTGGCTAGTTTAAGCCATAATTCTTTTCTCTAATCAGCAGTCAGTAGGACCAGCACAGCATCTCACCTTCAGAGCAGGGAAGGAGAAATCAAAGATAATGATGGCGTCTCTGTTTGCCTCCTCCAACTCCTCCCCAGAAATCTGTGATGATAATTCTAGAGACACACCCCTTGCCTTGTCCACAGACAAAAGACAGATCTGGGCATTTTAGGATTTTACTGTGTAGTTTTACAGAAAAATAATGCAGAATCAGAGACAATGACAGAGATGAAGACAGATACAGAGAGACAGAGTGAGATAAAGACCTAGAAATGAGACATAAGCAGAGACAGAGATATCATCCCCTGCCTTTGCAGCAACCCATACGAAAGCGATCTGCTGAATTTTGAGTTCGTAATTTGTACTTTTCTGACTGTATGAAACTTTAAAAGTTAATGTCCTATTTTTCTTATTTTTTTCTGGGTTTCAGGAAAAGGAATAAATTATAAATTCTTTTATCCTCTCATCTTTTACCATAAATTCTTTCAGACTGATTCTCATTTCCTTTCAGAAGTGTTCCATCCTGGAGGGTTATTAAGCTCTTTGGTATTTTTGAGTGCTAAATGGTTTTGAATATTTTGCAGTTAAATCTTACACTAGAGCCATGGACTGATTTATTTTCCTCGGAATTTTACCCTTTCTACTGAAATTTTAAAGTGGGTTTCTTGGAGTTGGAGTGATAGCACAGTGGGTAGAGCATTTGCACGTGGCCAACCCGGGTTCAATTCCCAGCATCCCATATGGTCCCCCGAGCACTGCCAGGAGTAATAGCTGAGTGTATGAGCCAGGAGTAATTTCTGTGCATTGCTGGGTGTCACCCAAAGGGCAAAAAAAGTGGGTTTCTTTGAGAGTTTCAGACTAAACAAGTAGCAGGTAATGCAGTAGAAAGGGGCATTTCTCTTGCTCTGCCACAACCTCCAGGTGCTTCGTTGATGTTGCTCTGGTTAGAGAAATGGCTGAGCCACATTCACTGATGCAATGACACCAATACCCAGTTGAGAAAACAGTTCCCAAACATCCAATTTGGACAATCTCCCGTGCAGCATCGGTCTGGGGGGTGTTGAGATGCTTTAAGATTTTTTGTTTAATGCCAAGGCTCTAGCAAAGGATGGAAGCATCCCCTTGTGAGATCAGATACCTTTCTCAAATTTGAACTTCACAATGGGTAATCTTTGAGCACAACAGGGGAGAGGAAAGGCAGAGAAAAATAAGCTTGGATTGGGAGAGGGGGAAAGATGTTCCGGAAAAGAAAAGCACGGAAATAACATGGAATGGCTGGAGGTGGCTGGCAGCCCAAAGGCCCATCAGTGCCGCCAAGGGCATAAAGGAAGTCTCCAAATGCCTAATTCATGAGTCATTAAAGCGTGGAGTCCTAGTTCTGTGTTTCCCGTCTTCTCTTTCATCTCCTGCTCTACCAAGGGTTCAACTCTAGACTTGGTGGGATTTTAATCAAGATGCCCCAGAACATATGGTCATGGAGAGTATCATGCTAAGTGAAACAAGTCAGAAAGAGGGGAACAGACATAGAATGACTGCACTCATTTGTAAGCACTGTAGTACTGTCCTCCCGTTGTTCATCAATTTTCTCAAGCAGGCACCAGTAATATCTCCATTGTGAGACTTATTGTTACTGTTTCTGGCATATTGAATACACCACAGGGAGCTTTCCAGGCTCTGCTGTGTGGGCGGGATACCCTCAGTAGCTTGCTGGGCTCTCCAAGAGGGGCGGAGGAATTGAACCTGAGTCGGCCATGTGTAAGGCAAACTTCTTACCAGCTATACTATTGCTCTAGTCCTCTCATTTGTGGAATATAAAAATAACATAATATGAGACTGACACCCAAGGACAGAAGAGACAAGGCCCCATAAGTTGGAAGTCTGCCTCATGAGCTGGGAGAGAAGGCAGCTGGGATAGAGTAGGGATCACTAAGTCAATGATGGTTGGAGGAATCGTTAGGGATGGGAGATGTGTGCTGTAAATAGATAAAGGACAAAATATGGTGGCTTCTCAGTATCTGTATTGAAAACCATAATGCCCACAAGTAGAGAGAGAGTATGGGGGAAACTGTCTGCCATACAGGCAGGGGAAGGGCTGAGAAGGGGGTGTATATTGGAGACACTGGGTGGTGGAAAATGTGCCCTGGTGGAGAGATAAGTGTTGGATCATTGTATGACTGAAACTCAAACATGAAAGCTTTGTAACTGCATTTCATGGTGACTCAATTGAAAAAAAAAAATGATGCCCTAGAACAAGGCCTGTGCTTCCCCCAGGGCACCTGCAGGTACTGAGAGTGAAGGACACAGCCCTAGTGATGATGACAATAAAACCATACCTGCAAGCAACAGAGAAGTTGGAGCCACAACCAAGGCTACCTTAACAAGGGGTCCAAGTCCCAGACGTTTCCACTCAATAGCTCAAGGGATTCACGCTTCTCAAGCATTTCTTGTTCTGTGCTTCTTTTTTGGTTGGGGGGGCCACACCTTGAAGTGCTCAGGGGCTTCTCCTGGTTTGGTGCCCACTGTGGTGCTCAGGGATCAAGCTTGGGTTTTTCTTTTTTCTTTTTGGGTCACACCCGGCAATGCACAGGGGTTACTCCTGGCTCTGAACTCAGGAATTACGCCTGGTGGTGCTCAGGGGACCATATGGGGTGCTGGGAATTGAACCTGGGTTGGCCGTGTGCAAGGCAAATGCCCTACCCGCTGTGCTATCACTCCAGCTCCAAGCTCGTTTTTTTTTTTTCTGTCTGCAAAGATTGCCTCAGCTGTTTGTCCTATCTCCCCTGTGCCTACGCAATTCCTCGGCTTCTCCTATTGAAGACTCGTTGGTCCAGGAATCTTCAGACACTAACTGTCAGTGGACTTTGGCTCTCACTTTGTGCTGACATAGGGAGTACAGGGTGCCAGATCTGCAAGAGACTGGGCCAAGGAGCTGCCGGCCGCTCCCCACTGTGGCTGATGCACACTCAGAGGGGCTCAGACACGCTGCACTTAGTCCGGGATGACTGGCTTGCCTGATGCTCACTAGGAATTCAGTTTACCTTTCTTTCTTTTCTTTTTTTCTTTTTTTTAATTTCTTTTTTTTTATTGAATCACTGTGAGATACAGTTACAAAGCTTATTGATTGAGTTTCAGTCATACAATGAATGAACACCCAACCCTCCACCAGTGCACATTCCCCACTACCAATGTCCCCAGTATTACCCCCACACACACACACTTTCCAGCCCTCCCCCTGCCTCCATGGCAGACAATTTCCCCCATACTCTCTCTCTACTTTGGGGCATTATGGTTTGCAATACAGATACTGAGAGGCATCATGTTTGATCCTTTATCTACTTTCAGCACACATCTCCCATCCCGCACAATTCTTCCGACTATCATTGTCTTAATGACCCCTTCTCTATTCCACTCAGCTCGCCTTTCCGTGCACACAGATTTCAAGCACCATCTCCCAGCCTCAGGCACTGGGCACCACATGAAATCAAGGCCCTCTCTCCAGCGGCTTTCAGTTAGGGGGTGGCGGTGAGAAGTGGTGAGGACGGGGTGCCAAGTTCCCAGGCCTGCCTGGGGAATACCTCAAGTGGCCCAGAGACAATCTATCTTTATAAAACTTGAGGTTTGGCTGTCTCCAACAGACATAAGTTAGCATGCCTGCTTGGTTTCTTGTGTTAGGGAGAATGGGGGTTGGCCCACACCCAGCGGTGCTCGGGGCTCGCTCCTGGCTCTGTACTCTGGGATCACTCCTGATGGGGCTCAGGGGACCATGTGTGTGCCAGGGATCAAATCCAGGTCAACCGTGTGCAAGACAAGCGCCTTACTTACCACATTGTCTCTCCAGCCCCTGAGTAGCTCTGTAACACTGTCTCCCGTTGTTCATGGATTTGCTCGAGCAGGCACCAGTAACATCTCCATTGTGAGACTTGTTGTTACTGTTTTTGGCATATCGAATATGCCACGGGAAGCTTGCCAGGCTCTGCCGTGTAGGCGGAATACTCAAGGTAGCTTGCCGGGCTCTCCGAGAGGGATGGAGGAATCGAACCTGGATTGGCCATGTGCAAGGCAAATGCCCTACCCACTGCGCTATCACTCCAGCCCAGCCCCTTAGTAAGTTTTGTTAATTTGGGAGTCCAGATTTTCTCAGGGGCTCAAAAAGAATGACAGTGCATGTTTTGTGTATAGGACCTCTGGCACTGCCTGGCTCCCCAAGACTGCTGGGCCACAACCCCAATGAGGATGGAAAGGGAGGAACCCCCAGCACTGCCAGGCGTGGCAAAGCCATCAACTAGAGACCACATTTGCAATTGTGTCTGTACCAGCATGAAACGAGTCAAAGACCCATCCCCGTGCACAATGCTGGGGTCAGGGCAGAGACACACCTTAATGATATGGAGTTTGGGGAGGAGGTTACAGTCGGCTAGCGTGAGCTCATTCCCATCCAGAAACTTCCGCCCAGAAACAGTCGCATCCTCGGGGCTGTAGGCATCTATTTCATCAGGCAGAGGACTGTTTAAGTAATTATCCAGCTTCTTCAGGGCCCTTAGCAGGTTCTTCTCATAAACTGAAACAGAAAGAAAGACAAAAGGTCCTTCACGCCCTACCAAGGTCACGAGTTGCCCCCCACAAGCCACTCTCCGGCAAGGCCATGGCTCCAGAAGCACAAGGACTTAATGCAGAGCCCGGCAGCTTGCGGCAGAAAAGTGAATGGACTATGCGTTAATCCACAGTACCATGCCTCCCCAGGAGGGAAGGGGTGTCACTCCCTTCCGCCTTTTTCCCCCTGGGCAGCAAGATGGCAGCTGCCTTGGAGCTTTTTGGAAAGCGAGGTATGAGCCGGTGGTGACAGGCAACTGAAACCTCATGGGAAGGGGGTCATTCCCGTCTCGTCCTTCATGCCCTACCAAGGTCACGAGTTGCCCCCCACGAGCGGCTCTCCAGCACGGCCATGGCTCCAGAGCCACAGAAACCAATCTTGTAATTATCTGGCTCTTGGCAGAAATACCTCCAGGCTTAATAAGTAAAATATCAGAAATCCAAAATTTAGCAGCCGTGCGACATCATATGGTTCTCATAACCAGCTGTAGAAAACAAATGATTTCACAATGCCTTTTCAGCAGTTCTGATTGTTGGGTGTAAAGTCTAAACAATAATGGTACATCTTTTGTCGAAATAATGAATGTAATCAAAGTAGACAGGGTGTTAAGTAGAATTCATCTGCCTCACAGGCATTGGGAGGGGTGGGAGGGGGTATATTGGGGTTCTTGGTGGTAAAAAATAAGTACTGGTGAAGGGAAAGGTGTTTGATTATTGCATGACCGAGACTTAAACCTGAAAGCTTTGTAACTTTTCCCACAGTGGTGATTCAATAAATAAATAAAAAAAGACAAAACAGAGAGGAGAGATGTGCCCGCTGCTGTCCCTGCAGCCTGGTCAGAGGGCCGAGGGTGGGCCTCTCCGTCCTGACCCCAGGGGCAGGGCTTGGAGGAGAGCAGGCAGATTGCCGGGGTCTGGACAAAGGACACACTCCTCCCTAGAGGAGAATTTTCCATCTACACATCATTGCTCCTTCTAGAATTTATTAGTTTTCTATACACACACATGCATATTGTGAAAATACATGTCCCGTGATGAAAGAGATACTGGCAGAGGAAACACTTGAATGAATTCCCACAGTGCAGCTGGGAGCACCTGGGTGGCGGTGATTTGCCCTGAAAGCATCGTTTTCTAGAGTCCCAACCTCTAGAAAACACTACTGTCTCTTGACTCTCAACATGCAAGTTCCAAGCAGGTTGGCTCTCTCCGCCTCTCTAGATATTACTCCTCTGGAAAATGGATCAGAATTCCCAGAGGCTTACAAGGAGCCACGCCCACAGGTGAGTGGACATCCTACACACACACACACACACACACATGCATGCACAGGCACACATGCATGCACATGCACACGCGCACACACACGCACACACCAGGAAGAGGGAAAAAGTTACTTACTCTCATTTGCATCCTTCTTGGTATTTTTAATAAATGCTGAAAATTTGGCAAACACATCATTTCCTGCTGAGTTCGATTCTGGGTGTTGGGTGCCCAGCTTAGGATATCTTTAAAAATTAAACATTGGAGTATTACAGATAAGCAATGTGTGAGGTAGGTTAACACTATGGTGGTGGGAGAGCGGGGAGGTGATATAAAAATAAAGCTTCCCCTAGGTGTTTCCCCCAATCTTTTGCTTTGTTTTATTTGGGGGGAGGGGGGAGTGCCACACCCATTGGTGCTCGGGACTTCCTTCTGGCTCTGTGGTCAGGGATCACTCCTGGCAGGGCTCAGAAGACTAAATGAGATGCCAGGGATTAAAGCTGGGTTGGGGGCTGGAGCAAAAGGTAGGGCATTTGCCTTGCACACAGTCAACCCGGGTTCAATTCCCAGCATCCCATATGGTCCCCTGAGCACCTCGAGGAGTAATTCTTGAGTGCATGAGCCAGGAGTAACCTCTGTGCATCACTGGGGTGTAACCCAAAAAGCAAAATAAAACAAAACAAAAAAACCCAGGTTGGCCATGTGCAAGGCAAGCATCCTACCCTGGATAACTCTGACCTGAATCTTTTTGTCTGTTGACTGAGGAATCAACACAGCATCGGGGGAAAGTTCTAGTCCAATTGCTCTCATCCTGGGACACAGGACCCCACATGACTTTGCTGGTTTTAGCACCCTCTTTAGGGCTGGAGCGATAGCACAGCGGGTAGGGCGTTCGCCTTACAAGCGGCCAACATGGCCGACCCGAGTTCGATTCCTCCGCCCCTCTCGGAGAGCCCGGCAAGCTACCGAGAGTATTGGATATGCCAGACACAGTAACAACAAAGTCTCCAATGGAGACGTTACTGGGCCCGCTCGAGCAAATCGATGATCAACGGGAGGGCCTTTACCTTTACCTTTACCTTTACTGAAAAGAAGGTGACAGACCACAGGGTGCCCTTGGGGTCCAGTACCCACATCTGTCGCATGGGAGTACACGCTCCCTTATCTGTTAGAAGGTCGCCCAAGGAATGGTTATCCACGCTGCCCTCCCCAGTGTCTCTGCAAAGAAACCCCGGCCTGCTTCCCTTGAGCACTCTAAGCTGGCCCTGCTTTCTTCAGAGCCTGAGGAACAGTAGAGCCAGCTCCATGATGTGGGAAACCAAACATGCAAAGCGACAAGAGCAGAGAGTGTGGCCGGTGTCCACAGGACAACGGGCCCCATCGAGGAGGGCATGTCACGAGTCCTACCTCGGGGGAGTCAGCTTCTCCTCTAAGAACTCCTCGATCTTGTTCACGTCTGTCTTCACTTCACCATCAAAAGTCATGAAGGGGGGGTTGGTTCCCGGAGCCAGGTTCTGAAGGTCAGCGGGCTTCCTGGAAGGGAACGTTAAAGCCCATGTGCAGTGGGTGCACTAGGTCTCCCTGCCCTGCCTGAGAGAACGCTGCTCTCCAGGCCATCCCGCTGACCATGACACTGAGCATGTGTCACTGACCATGAGAGGTGACACTGACCATGAAATGGCGGAGGTGGAGGCATCCTTGCCTCTCACCAGGAGTGGGACTCAGACGGGCTTTTCGAGGCTCTTCACTGGCCAGAAACTGGGGCGGGGGGAGCAGGTACCTAGGTACTCCCAACCCCTCCTCCTTCCTGATTCTGTCTGACACTCCCTAAGGAATGCTGTATCCACACTCAAGCTCCAACTCAGGAACCTGACTAGAGATGTGCAGGTTCAAGACCCTCAGACTGTGTGTGTGCACGTGTGTGTGTTAATACACGTATGTGTGTTTATGTTTGTGAATACACCATGTGTGTTTGTGTAAGTGTAGGCATTGGGAATGCATGGATATGTAGGTACGTGGCTCTGTGTCTCTCAGTGTCCATGTGTGAGTGTATATATGTGGACAAACATGGATATGAGTTTATGTTACTGCATGTGGTACATGTCTGTATGCATCTGTGTATGTGTATGTGTGAGTATATACATATGGGTATGTGTGGAAATGTATAGATGTGTCTGTGTGTCTATGTATATTTGTGGATGTGTCTGTATACATGGGAATATGTGTATATGGGATGAGTTGGGCTGGAGCGATAGCACAGCAGGTAGGGTTCAGTTCGAACTGACCCGGGTTCAGTTCGTCCATCCCTCTCGGAGAGATCGGCAAGGTACAGAGAGTATCCTGCCTGCACAGCAGTGCCTAGCAAGTTCCTCGTGATGTATTGATATGCCAAAAACAGTAACAACAAGTCTCACAATGGAGACGTTACTGGTGCCTGCTCGAGCAAATCGATGAACAACGGGAGGACAGTGCTACAGTGCTCCAGGGTATGTGTTGATATGTCCATGTCTATGTATGTTCTCTGGATGTGTCTGTGTACATGTGTGTGGAGGTGAATGTGTGATTCTATATACGTGTGTCCCTGTACATGCACATGCTTTGTGTGTGTGGATACACATGTGTGTGCCTGTGTGTACAGATACAGTATTCCCGTGATGCTGAAACCTTGCCTTACCTTTTTAGGTCCACTGTTGTCACATTAAATATAACACCTTTTAGCCAAAGGATCATGAAGAGACGCTGAGAAAACGGGCAATTTCCAATACTCTCACCATCATAGCCAGCCTATAAGTGGAGGTAAAGAATTTTTATTGGAAGTCATTCTCTTAACTATAAATGTCATCACACTACACACACACACACACACACACACACACAGGCACACAGACACACAATATCACTATGGCTTTTTGTTAATTGTAATTATAATTGTAAATGTTCTTCCAAGGTCATTTGACCAAACCTCTAAGCCAGGTAGGTGGCAGGTGGTGGGTAGATGGCAGAGTGATGGAGTGGGCATGTGACAGATATACATACACACACACTCACTGCCCATAGCATTCTTCTCTCCTACCACCTCATCATTCCCTGCTACGCTGGGTTCTGAACAGCCGAGGGAAGCAACAAGTGATCATCTTTGTTGTCATCTCGTTTGCTCATCCCTTGGACACCTTCTAGTCTCTCTCTAGCTAGACCCATTCCAGAAGCAACACACCACTCTCCGGGATGGACTTTCTTAAAAACAGACCATCACTCCCTCCTTCCATGACACCCTCTCGGTAGAGGCTTCCATGTTTGTCTACAGAATGTGACCTTGGCTCTTAGGAGTTCTGAGATTCCCCGAGACTCTGGAATTTAATATCCTTCTGTCCGACTCCTAGGGTGACAGAGACATGAGGTCTAAGAATGTAGATGATCACATAGTTGGTATCAAGAAAGGAATGACAGACACCAAAGAGCTAGGACAGTGGCTAAGGCACTTCTCTTACATGGGGCTGCCTGGGTTCCATCCCCAGCACCAAATATGGCTTCTTGAACACTGCCAGGAGTGATCCCTGGGCACAGATCCAGGAATAAACCCTGAGTACTGCTAGGTGTGGCCCCAAAAAACAAACAAAAGAATGGAAGGACAGGGGCTGGAGTGATAGCACAGCAGGTAGGGCATCTGCCTTGCCCGTAGCCGACCCAAGTTCAATTCCCATCATCCCATATGGTCCCACAAGCACTGCCAAGAGTAATTCCTGAGTGCAGAGCCAGGAGTAACCCTTGAGCATCGCTGAGTGTGACCCAAAAAAGCAAAAAACAAAACAAAACAAAAAAACAAACAAAAAAAAAAACAAAGAATAGAAGTACATAAAATACTTCTTCCTTATTGGCCCACAGCAGGTCACCACCCTACACTCTCCAAAGATCCTGTGTCCATCCTGCCTGGCAGAGGACAAAGGCAGGCATGTGGGAGAGAGCGGGAAGTATGGGCTTTCACAGACAGTCCTGCAAGACAGAGAGACTCACAGGTAACAAGGAAATTCCAACTCGCCTTTCTCTTCCCGCCTTTCTTTGTGCCACACAGGGCTGAGAAGGAGACAGAGCTAATAAAAATGTTTCTGCAGAGGCAAAGAGACCTAGGATGAGCTCTTTACCTCCCCAGACCAAGAACACCCAATCAGTCAATTTTAGGGGCAGAAAGAACCACGGCTGCTGTAGTTCGTCCACAAAGTTCATGTCTGCCATTACATGGTTTAAGGAGGATGGAGGAGAAAGCATGGGATCCATTGTCTAAAGGATGCAGGCAGAGAGTGAGTTTGGAAACTGAAGAGAGAAAGAGAGATCTCAAGGTAAGGGAAACTTCTGAGGGGTGGTCTCTGACATTCCATTTCATTTGGTTTTCTTTTGTTCTGTGTTGGGGCCATATCCAGTGATATTTAGGGATTATTCTTCAGGGCTCTATGCTCAGGCATCATTCCTGGTGCATCTCAGGAGACCATATGGGGTGCAAGGGACCAAACACAGGTCAGCCATTTGAAAGACTAGTACGCTGCCTACTGGAATATCCCTCCAGCCCCCAAATCCCTTTTCTTAAATGGCCTGGAGGGGTTGTTAAGAACAAAGTGCCCCTGCAAGTTAAGAGGAGAAGAGAACCCAGAACCCAGTTTTAAAACGACTTGATCCCCCTGTTTATAAAAGAGAAAATCCAAATTACCAACCAGCACAATGAAAAGTGTCTGCATTCATTTGCTCAAGAGGGCAATGCAAGGTTTGAAAACACACAGAGATGCCTGCATTCTGACTTCTGGTTCTGACAATACCAAATGCATATGTGGATGCAGAGCAACTAACTGAATTTTCTTTCATTGTTGAGTAGAATGCCAATTGGTTTAATTACTTAGAAACTGTTTCGCAGTTAAGTACCAGAGCTCAACATATACCCAAGACTTAGAAATCCCACTTACAATATAAATGAGAGCTTATGGTTGTGTGTGCTTACACACACACACACACACACACACACACACACACACACACACACACACCATCGTTCATAGAAATGTTCTTAGCAGTTTCCATTGATCAACTAACCCTAATAACAGCCCAAATACCATCAACAGTATAATAAAGTTGTAGGACGTGTGTGTAATGAGATGGACATTAACCCCCATGGGAAAGAATTTACTACAAGCAACAATTTGGATGAATCTCACATACACAACACTAAGAGACAGAAACCAAATTCAAGTGTCTTAAACAAGTTAAACTAGATAAAGTTTCCACATAGGAAAATTTGTTTCCATGATGGAACTCAGAGTAAGTTATGCTGGAAACTGGGTGATATCTGGGGGGGAGAAAGGGAGCTTTATGGAGGTTTGGGTTATTGTTTTGAGGGAGTCATTTTTTTGTTGGGGTTATTTGTTCTTTTTTGTTACTGGGTTTTTTTGTTGTTTATTTTTTATTTATGTTTATTTGTATTATTTGTTATTGGTTATTTGTTCATTGATTTAAAGAAGGCCTTTGACTCTGTTGAGACGGAAGCGGTCATGGAAGCCCTAGCCAATCAGGGCATACGAACTCAATACATCAGGATCCTTCGTGAGCTCTATTGTGGATTCACTACCAAGATCTCACCATTCTTCAAAGAAGTAATCATCCATATCAAGAGAGGGGTTCGGCAGGGTGATACCATTTCACCAAAACTCTTCAGTGCCACCCTCGAGAACATCATGCGACGACTGGAATGGGAAGGAATGGGAGTGAAGATAGATGGTCGGCAACTACACCACCTCTGCTTTGCTGATGACATCGTTCTAATAACACCAAACATCAGCCAAGGGGCACAAATGCTGAACGACTTTAACCATGAATGTGAAAAGGTCGGACTACAGCTGAATCTTACGAAGACAATGTTTATGAGAAACAGCCTTGTTCCTGACGCTCCATTCGCTCTCAACGGAACCACCATCTCCGAATGCAACAGTTATATATACCTAGGTCGAGAAATCAACATGATGAATGACCTGGCACCTGAGCTGCGCAGGAGGAAGAGAGCGGCTTGGAATGCCTTCAAGAACGTTGAAGAAATAACTAAAAGGACAAAGAACCTCCAACTACGAGCACATCTCTTTGATTCCACTGTTCTTCCTGCATTAACATATGCCTCAGAGACCTGGGCCCTACGAAAACAGGATGAGAACGCTATTCGGGTCTCTCAAAGAGGAATTGAAAGAGCTATGCTTGGAATATCACAATTCACTCAAATGAGAGATAGAATCCGGAGTTCTGATCTTCGTCAACGCTCAAGAATCAGGGACGCTGTCTCATTTGCCAAGACATCAAAAATCAGATGGGCTGGACACGTAATGAGGTTTACAGACAACCGCTGGACTAGAGCCATTACTGATTGGATTCCACGGGACATCAAAAGATCACGTGGACGCCCACCTACAAGATGGTCAGACTTCTTCGTCAAGACCCTGAATGATCGGTTTGAGGCTCTGCATGTTCCTAGAACGAACAGATACCATTGGGCTATGCTAGCACGCAACCGGGATGAATGGAAACGTTACTGGCACCCGCTCAAGTAAATCGATGAATAACGGGGATTAAGTGATTAAGTGATTTGTTTTTTATCGGGGGAACCACATCTGGCTGTGCTCAGGGACCACGCCTGGTGATTACTGGGGGGAACATAGTGGTGCCAGGGATGGAAGCCTTGAACAGGTCACACCTTACCTACTGCACCATCTCTCTGGCTCCATGGCAGGGAGCTTCTGGAATGGCAGAAATGTCAAATTATCTGTGTTGTGATGCCAGCATGAACATATTCAACTGGTAGTGTCTCAAGGCATTTTCCTCTATGCTTGACTTCAAGACCCAAGACTCAGAAATCCCAATACCCCAAACTCAGCAAAGTCACTCTTGCTTGCTTCTGAAATTTTTTCTTAAGAGTTAGATTCTGTGAGGGCTTGCAAAGGGCCCCCAGGAAACTGAGTTTTTAACAAGTGTTTCCACGCACCCCCCACCACACCACTATTGCCACCAAGCTAGAGAGATGCAGAGAACAGGGGGGTGAATGGGGGCGTTGCCCAGAAGCATGATCCTAACCCCGCCATGACCAGGAGAGAAGGCCAGGACATGCATGCTAATGTCAGAGGATGGAGCCGAGCAGTTCAAGTCTCCAAATGCTAATGGGCTGATGACACTGACCAGGCATTCTGGTTTAGCACAGTCCACATAGGTGTGAAGTTGAGGAGACATGTGGAAAGGTCAATCATCCACATATGGAGGCACCCAGAGACTCGGATGGTTGAACCCATCATCTCTTGAGCTCTGGCTCTTCCTTTGCTCCCCTCCACCCCTCCCTGGCCCCCTCCACTATGTACCTATTAGCGGGGAGGATCTGAAGCTTCCCCATTGGTGAGTTCTGTGAATTTGTTGGGAGCCTGGATGTTGGGGAAGGAGAGTTAGGATCCTGGAAGAGCCCCTCCTGGGCAACCTAACGCCACTCTTGTTTCCAGTGACCTGCAACGGACGGGACAGTCTGGGCAGCAATTCTCTGCCTCCTTTGCGCTGTGATGCCACCGCCCAGCCTTGGTTTCCCCAACAAGCCTCCTGACTGTTTGTCTTGCCCCCTCTCAGCCCATCCCCACACCTGGATGACCAAACAGACCCTCCCACCTCACAGGTCCGGCCCATCTGCCCCTATTCAGAAACACATGCATGGTCCCAGAGGGCAGGACATGATGGCCTCCGGAGGCAGGTCCAGGGCATCAGCCCAGCTGCCTCTCCCACCT